GTACACATTGGCAAGAATAATGGTGCGGCCGAAGTCGCTTTTTCGGGAGCGTGTCGGAAAATTTGCGTATAAAGTTCACAATTGGATCCAGAGCAAATACAACGAAATATTTTTCTGTCAACTTTAATTTGGCAGTGATGTTAAGAATATATATGTATCGTCAGGTTACTTTTAAATTTAATCGCCGAATTTTTCAGAGTAACAGTAATGCATTTCCTCTTTTCGTTCAGAGCTGAACAGCATTGTGGGCTTTACCATCCAGTGAAAGGTTAATTGTTACCATACTTTACATCCACAACCAAACCAGAAATTTCGCAGAATCATTATTTAGCAGGCTACTTTGTCAATAATGGTTCTAGCTCGTGAGTTCCACCAATGCTTGGCGTGGATGTCCTTGGATAGTGAGCCATCATCGGCTTTCAACTAGTATAAAAGTCAAAAGTCTAGGCTTACGAAATTAAAGGCGTAGTTGTTACCACCACGCTGCCGGGAGGTACAATGAAAAATACGATTGTTTACTGTTTTTCTTCTCGTATGTGATTGGTCCGTACGGATAGCTACTTTTAACTTCGGTCTGGCATTTAATTATTTGGCATGCATTATACGACGGTGAATGCCGGTTGATTCAAAAATCTGCGTCGTCTCCTCAGTACTGTCATCAAAACTATTACACATGTGGGTACCCTATAGTGCATGTGATTGGGCATATATATGTTGCGGAGTGAACTGCAAAACCTCGGATCCTCGTCTAGGCTAGCCAAAAGCTGAAGTGTGGTTACATTTGAACACAGGGCCTGTCTTCTTTTTCGTATCGTGACCGGCTTGCTGTGATAATTGAAGTCAGGAGTATTGTGACGCAGAACCTGGCTGAATCCTTCGAATTGTGACTAGCAGATTTCTGTCTATTAGGAAAACCGGTGGACCACGCACACTCCGATCTAGTAGAAGCAGAGGTATTTGGTACAGTCAACCTTAACTCGCTTCGGCACACGTTTCCTAATTCTGGAATTTGGCCGTCTACGGTTTCTTCCGCGGAACCGGCTGAGCAGTTACATTCTGATCAATACATGCAGCTCAAGTGGGCTGCGATAGTTTGCACCGCATTTGCTGTATGTATCAGTAAATTTTATGTGTTTTTCTGGTAACACCAAATTGAGGAGCGCGTTTGGCTATCTGAGTATCAAGTATCGGATGTATACACCAAGTCCTCCGAACATTGCAAGTAGCGAGTGGCCGCACATGGGGACAGTTGTCAGCCGTGAACCTAAGTGTATGTAGCTCAAATTCTTTGACCAAATAAAGGGCAGAGAAAAAGTACCGAAACGCCCTGCTAACACCTATGAAATTTACTAATGAGTAGTCGGGATTTTGGTATAATGTAGCTAATTGGTCATTGTCACTCTCAGTCAGCAGACTTTGGCAAGTCTGCAGAAGCACCATACATCGGTGTTTCGACCTTGTGGGTCTCGTCAGTGGTGCGCCGGGCTATATCATAGTCAACTGTTAATCATGCAGCTCCGCGGCTGTCACTCAAGGCCAAGTGGCACTAGGTGCTAGCATCCTGAAGTCATGAGGGCGGAAGCTGGCAGCGGTCCGCTGGAACGCGCACCACTGACAAGACCCAGATGGTCGAAACATCGGTTTCTGGTGCTTTTCTATACTTGCCAAAGCCTGCTTACTGAGGGTGAGCATGACGAATTATCTGAATTGGACCTATGAAAATCTTTACCTGCACAGCGCTGGTTGAAAGTCGTTAAAATGTGATTATTAGTCGGAACGTTTGTTCAGTCCCTTCTATCTGTGATTGATAAGTTCTTCCGAATACGGAATATTGTATGTTTTAGATTACAGGTAACCCGTTCACCCAAACAATCAGTCATCATCACCTCGAGAAATTTGGGCTCTTCAGCAGTTTAAATTTTATCCCACATATTTAAAGCAGACTAGTTCGTAGCTAGCAATCACATATGCGACTGTGTTACGGCGAAAGGTCGTCGGTGAATAAGTGCCTTAAAGTTGAATCCAAGACACTTGCAACTTTATGACAGTTTTTATATAAAAATAAGAACAGCAATAGAGCAAAGCAGGAGAGGTAATTAGATGCCTACGTATTGCTCTAAAGATGTCGGCATAAGCACTATAGTCAAGCTGGGGTGGTGCTATATCACTTGCTCAACACATAGTAGGATTAGTTGGACTTATCAGTGTTTTTAACAAAATAGGAACCAATGGTTGTGTCCCAATTTCCACAAAGCGGTAAAATACTCATTTAGCAAATACCTTCGAATGGCATGTACACTATTCTTTTAGAAGGCGGTTTTACGAATAAAATACTAGTGCAACTCTGAGTAACGGATACCGATCGGGCACGTTTTCATTGTAAGGGGAAGGAACATGAACTGAAAATCTGAGTCAGACTATAGATTTGCTTTGCAATCTTCTTCATTACAAAATTTATCCGGTTGAAACAGTGGGCAGGGACCAGTTACTATCATCGCTTTTAATAAATACATCAGAGTAACAGTGATTCACTTATCGTACACCAAAGTAACTGAAACCTTCTGGTTCCAGCACTGGTATTGGCAAGTAAATTGTTGACATTGTCACAGCGTTATTTGCACCGGTCACTTAGCGCATTTAATCCCAGTCTTTTACTTTTATCGCATGTACACATCAAAAGCATCTCATCAAGAGTTGAACGTTATTCGCATCTGCTGTGGAAGCGTATATCTCATTGCAGGGGTCGTTTTGAATCACTGGTTGTGTGAATGGATTACGACGCTGTATCTCAGTGTGGATCACAACCCGCATTGAAGTGAACCGTCGTCATTCCATCACAGACCGAAACTGAAGCAGGTGGCATTTGGATGTTGCTCGTTAGAGGCCTGTTGTCTCCACCCGATGAGATCAACTAAATTCGAAACGCATCGTTAAGTGCAGCTTATGGGCGAGTTATACCCAATTTCCATCCACATCTCTTATTCTTTTCAGTGGACACTATAATCTTTATTCCCTTGCTTGCTTAAACGATGGTGTCAACGCATATATTACATATGTCAAAAATTAAACTATGCAGTAAAAAGAAACCGCAACATACAAACACAGTAGCGATTACTGGTAATAACAATAATAGTAATAATAATTATGACATAGTTAAAAGAGATATATTAAATGATCTAGTTAATTTTGCAACTCGCAACACTTCATGGTGTCTGATTACCATATAACTAACGAGTGGTAGGTAGTTCACAACTGCGGCGAAAACACGCGTACAAAGTTTTCAAGTCTTACGATGCCAGAGCTGAAATTTTTAAATAAATTTTGCTAAAGTCATCTCTTAGTCAGTCAATTCACTGCACTTCCTGGTTGTGGATTCGCCTCTTAAGCTCTACTCTTGACTTCCATTGAGATGAGACGGCCCCCAGTACCTTTCTTTATGCACAGTAGCTGCTGACTCAGACCTGGCTGCAGCAAAAGTTCTCCAAAATCACGTCATCCGTCACCTGCTATTCACCGGTTAGTATCCGCTACAGGCTGATATATCAACTCTACTGTTGACGGCTTTCAATTAAAACAACAGTAATGGGGACCAACCTCATCCTCTCCCCTTCCGTAACATGCATGATAAAGCAGGACGGATGTTGGTCCACTGCCTTCACCCTTGATCTAGTAGCCTGAGGGGCTTACCTTATACGTATATCGTAAACCTTCATTAAGGCCTATCTAACCATGTTCATAAGCAATAACTGCATCAGTGTGTTCCATATATCCATGAATCACAGTGCAACTGTTGGTTTTTGGATTGCGCCTTACAAAGTAACTGAATTACCAGTACATGTCCGCAAGATCACATTCGAGACTCCTGTTACAAGTTTTATGATTGTTTGTCTAACTTTTTACCTTGATGGGTTTAACTTTTAGGAATCCCTTTCTAAGGTTGAGAACAAGCTTGTCGACACAGGAATTGTTTTCAAAGCTAACAGCGTTCAGCTGATTTTGTGTTTTGAAACAGTAACTGCTGATTAAACATGGGTACATATCTGCGTTTTTAAATATCGCTTTCTTTATACTTTTAACTTACACATACACATCGAACTGCAGAGCAAGTTTCCTATAGGTACATCAATAGAAATAAAGGTAAGGTAATTAGGCTTTATCCTGACACGCAAATTCAATTAGAAACTTGGTAGTTAACGAGAGCTAAATACTTCGGATTACTGGGTCCTAACCCAGCAGCCTCCCCAGTTATGATCTGGAAATGTGCATAGTTGGGTAGAGGACCTCAAAACCCTGTAGAATAAGATTTCAAGTAGTTCAAGAATAGAATCAGTACCCAATGTACTTACGCACAACAATAAATATGTGCGCATAACTCTACAGGACTAACATGAGAGAGTAGAAATTAGAGCGGAAAATAAGGATAGTTCCCATGCACAAGTAAGCGCGTAACCTTGGGTATAGCCAGTAGATGTTGCTTAAGTTAGGTTTCAGGTGATGGGACCCAGTTCAACGTTCTGTTTCTAAGTAAATGGCAGTGACAAAACACCGGTGTGAGATCAGTAGAGGCATGATCTATTGGAAATTTTGTATATCGAAGACAAAATACTGAACGTGACGCAGGATTGCCACTGTGCTATTGTTTTGCATTTGTAGATTAGCAACCGCACACGAACTGACCGAATGGGAAAAGAAGGAATTCGCGAAACGTTGAGATAAGTGTGGTGGGGTTGCTTCAAAATCAGAGAACACGATATCGAAATATATATTCTAAGTTTGTATAACTCAGCCTAAGTTCACAAACAATGTCTTATGCTAACAGGAAACTAAGAAGCTTGATAATTCTTTTCTGGTAAATGTTTTGTTCCATGTCAGTTCGAAATTCTGTTAAATGGGGTAGTGCGTACAGAATGACGTACTTTGTTCTATGCGGTTGGTTTCGAGTAGTTCAAAATACTGACCATCTCACTCACAACTTCTTTCCGCTACCTTCGCCCGCCCAGCCAATCTTTATACGGAACAACAACCGATCGACTTACAGCTGCTCTACGGGGCCCAACTGGCACACTACTTACATGGGGCGTATGCCACACTGTTTATTGAGGCCTGGCGCTCGGATACCATCGCCCTCCTAATTCATCATGTGGTTACATTAAGCTTGCTGTCTTTCTCCTTCGTGTACAGGTAAATTCCTTCAAAACCAATAATTTGTGCCTGTTAACTCTAATTGCTAATCGTTCTGCGGGGTAGGCTCATACAGGTCCTGAATCATTATGTAGT